ATAATAGGCCTAGAGTATATACACTCGTGCGTAATTCGAATATGAAGCAGTGTTTTAACGAGTCAACTTTGACACAGAAAAGTAAATTCATATGGTTCGCACAGTGGGTTCGAAGACAAAGGCGTAGACAATTAAGATTAGCTTGCAAGCTACTTGCCATTTTCGATTAGTACTTGTTCAATATTTTAACAGACTGGTTTTCACTTCTGTAACATTGCAAATGCTAAAATGATGTACCGTACTCTAGGATGTTACATGACATTAACTCAATTGCTAAGCAGTCAGGCGGTCTAGCAAAAGCGCGTTCCATAAATGTTTAATTTCAAAGAGGAGATTGACGTCCAATTTAGACATCCCATTTAGTTTCTTCCTTAACTGTAAGTTTATGAATAGGCAACGAAGTCGAGAACAAAATGCAATGAAACGACTTAAAATTTGCAGCGAGAAAGCCAGTGATGCGACAGTTGACACCCTATGTTACATTACATTACCAAACCTATGTTACATTACCAACAAAATTTGAAATGCGCGAGTGCAGTGGCGTAATAGGCGGGGGAAGGGGTGGGCAGAGGGCAGACTGCCCCACTGGCGGATTTTACAGGGCTGACTAAGCTGTCGTACCGGGCTGGGTAAGAAAGGGAAAGAAAGAGAGAAGGAGGAAGAAAAAAGTAAATGGGAAAAAAGAAAAGAGAAAAATAAAGACAAGATTAAAAAGGAAAATATAAATATCATCAATGCTAAATCTATTTATTTGCAAAATTAATAAAGAGAAACCTGTAGATTCAATAAATATTTCATTACTTTACATGCCGAGGTCTCTGCTGAGCCGGCAATAATGTCAGAACGAGCAGTGGCCTACTATAATACAGTGCGTATAGTAGCAACTTACTTCCAACTGAGTAATACGAAAATATATCATAGTTATTAACCAATGAGAACACAGTATTTATGTCTACTGAATGAGAAAAAAAACAAAAAACAAAAACAAACATTCCTGTATCACATTTTCTTTCAGGACTTTTTGCCTATTTATGTTTCCATATCTAAAACGTTATTAAAAGTAAGGTTCTAGCAGTGAGTAACTAGCTTTTTCTCAGAGGGAAAGGGGGTGTCAAGAAGGGAAAAAGGAGCAAGAACAGATTTTAACCCTAAGAAATGCGCAAAAATTTTACAGTTTTATGCCAATTTCGTCTAAATTGTTCAAAAATCCTGTCAATTTAGGCACTTTCAGGGGTGAAAAGGGCATATTCTTTCCCTTTCCCCATTCTCAATTTTCCCGGAGGGGGAAAATGGGGAAAGATTTTCGACAGGGGGCTTTCCCCTTTACCCGCTGGTTACGCCACTGATTCTAAGTTAATTGAACCGAAATAGTCACAACTCAAAGAGAAAGAAAATTTAAGATACATCGTTTTACCATAAAAGGAGGGTTTCTTTGCATGTGTATTGATGATGAATGGTTGTAATATATATAACCATAATGAAAATGCTTATATTTAGTTTTAAAACACAAGAGTGTAGGCCTAATATTATATATTCCTTTAAGATATGTCGTATTGCTTTCTATATTGGGGGGGGGGGAAGGGAAGGGTATCACACATGGTCATAAATTACTAACTGGGAAAATTATTGTCTTTCCCCCTCCCCTGACTCAAGAACCCTGTTACACTCCTGTGTGAGTGACTATACAAGGAGGGGGAAAATAATGATGCGCGTGCCGGGGCCCCAGTGGGGTCTACGGGGCCTGGATGAGCATTTTCAGGCTGTTTTAAAACGATTTCGGGGTGTGTTTGTTGACAAACGGGAAAGGGAACTTTTCTCGGTGAATTTGATTCTCGAGCGAGAATGACTAGTTACTACATGACCTTTTTTATATTTTTATATTTTCAATAAAACAAATTTTAAATACATTTTCCCCTGATAATGTGTTTATCAAAACAATTCTTTCCCTTCAGTAGAAACAGGCCCGAAATTTCGATATTTTCATTTAACTAATATTAAATCATATATTTTCAACTTTATTGAAAAGTTGTTATAGGAAACAAGACAAAAGATCCACACAGACGATCCTAATTAGCATGCTGTTCAATAAAGCATAACATGACCTGATCGCTCTACCATGGTTACGGTGACCGCGTGCGACCGCGTACTGCACTCCTGAACAAGTTTGGCATAGAAAATGCTATGACGTCTTTTGACCGGATCTTATTTTTGTGGATTTTAATAAAACTAATTCTGATTTGATAATAAGAATTGCAGCGAGACTATTTGACCAATAATGAAGCTTATATCAATACGTTGTCATTTATTCATCTACTCGAATCAATTTGCACCGATGTTGTACGGTGTTTCGTTTTGGATGCTAGAGCCGATTTGCTGCCGGACGGTCTTAAAAAATGGACATTTTGGAGATTAGAAGTAGTTCGATGCTCCGTTTTGAAAATATTAACATTTATGTAAAAAAATAGCGTCAAATTCCAATGAAATATTGCACGCACAATTGGGCGGTGGAGCAGATGTCCGCAACTTTTCAATATACTGTAACTGAAATGCCGATTATACAAAAAAAAACAAAAAAACAAAAACAAAACAGAGAAACTTCTCTGATGTTGAGAGGCATTTAATAGGCTTAAGTGTAGCTCAAAATTGTAATGACAAATTGTTTATAAGTTAATAAACCAAACATTAAAATAAAACAATGTATGCCAGTAACTAATAATTAATTACATAAAATGTAATTACAGAATATATATGTAATAAATAGGAAAAAAAACTTAAGAGGCCTATACCAATTGTTTACTACAGTATCTGCTAAGTATTCTAACACTAAAAACCACTTATATATATATATATACACTCTCAAAAATTGCACTCGATATTTTAATAAAATGTTTTGTGTTTTCTTTGTAATTATATAATACTAATTTACAAATTCATAAAAAAAACCTCTTCATTAATTTCTTCAACTAGGTTTACTTTTGAAATCATTGAAGGATATTACATTATGGCACAATCTTGCCTCCCAACTATCAATGGAGTATTGGAGCTTGCTTACTGGGCACAACAAAAACCAAAACAGACCCTACATATAGATCGATTCTGGCTACCAGTACATTTTCTTCACTTCCATTTGACTATCTCCATGGATACCTAAGTAGTCCTGACTTTTCATATACTTTGCAGTGGTACCCTACAAGCTATGACAACAATAATATATATCATATATTCCGTATATTTTTGGATTACTTCCCTTTGGTTATTATATTTCAATATATTCAAAAGCAATGTTTTAAATCCTGATTTTTCGTATAAATTATTTTACTTTTTTTGTACAAAATAAGTTTAAAGATACTCGTGTCTATATATAATATATACATATGAAGTACTTTGCAAATTTCATAACTAGAATTAATTAACTATGTTTCATTTGAAAAGCAATATGCAAGATACACTTATACAGTGCTACAACAAGCACAGAATACCGGTATTGTTATCATTACCCTTAATCCAGTTTGAAAAGTTAAATACCCTGAGGCCTGAATCATTAAATCCGAACGCACATGGCTGAACATGTTTCCGAACAATTTAATAAAAATATAGGATTCAACAAGAATTTTAATGGAGCCCATCATAGTATCAAACAATATTAATATTCAGGAACATAATTGTTTGAAAAAATTGCTTTGCATGTTTGTTTCCTATGCACAGCTAAAACAAACAAACGGTCTCTTCAAAAACAAGGTTTGGTGGTAACAATGTTTGCCCCTGTGTGTTAGGTTTCACTGCCTGAGAGAATTTGTGAGGCACTTTCCAATCTGAAGATGCTAAACAGTTAAGCAAAAAATACATCAGCCACTTTGAGAAGAAAACTTTATACAGTGAAAATGGAAATGTGAATACAGACAGACTTAATACTAATGTTCAAAATTTGAAAATGTACTTAAGTTAACAATACATCATTAAAAATGTATTTATATCTTTGTAGAACTGTTTGATCGATACTAAACCAAGCACAATTATTTATACTAGGGAACGTTTTTATATTAAGCTGTTCTCATACAATGTAATTAATACCTCAGCTACATTGACGTAGGCTGGGCGACACTCCCCACTAATTGGGTTAAAATACTAAGAATGACCATTAAGTTTTCATTGGAATAGGGATTTAGTTCCACATTCTTAATTTTCTCAATCAGGGTGAAACCAGTCTACAGCCCTGAGCTATAGCCTTACCATGAGGCATATGAAGTGAAGTTGTTACGCCTGAGAGAAAAAAAAAAAGATTTTTTTTTATTGGATTTGAACCCAGGATTCTGGAATTGGAAGGCAAACATCTTAACCACCATGCCACAGATGCATTTGGATTGAAAATTCAAAACATATTAGTTTATTTCCTGAATATATAGCTATAGTTATCTATAACCTTAATACTTTCAAAATTTAACGCTTCTCTTTGGATATTATGAGAGAAAATTTTTAAGAATAATTAATATATTGCTTATAAAATGCACTTTCTATATGAAATGAATTAATTAAAATGAACTTAAACAATATAGGTAAATTAAAGATATATTGTGATCAAGTTAAGTAAAGATGATGCTTGATATATATATAGACCTATATGTATATATATATATATATATATATATAAATATATATATATATATATACATTTTTAAAAGTAATATTATGATGTCTAATAAATAAATGAATTAATATAATGTTAAATAATGATAATTATAATTTTTAAAAGTAAAATTGTTTGAATGATTTATGGCATTCAAAACAAACTAAATAGATGACAACGTATGTAAAATTGATAATGATGATGATGATGATATGATAATGATGATGGTGACAATGATGATGACTGTAATGAAAATGACAATAATGATAAAGATGGTACTGTAATGTGATAATTGATAATTTTAACAATAACGATGAAAACAACAATCGTAATGATGACATCAGGAAACTGGCGACAGCAAAAATTCAATTAATTGCATTACTACCATGAAAGTATTATTTTGACAAATGCAAATAACAGAAAATGAAAGGGCAATAACCAGGCTTTGAACTCGGAATACAATAAAAGTATTCCCTAAAGTCAAAGATAATTACTATGAAATGAGTCAGCACCTTATCTATGGATCTTTAAACCCAAAGTACAAATTAATTTTAATACTCAAAAGAAAAAAAATGATAAATTTTTGTACTGATGGTAATTAAATTAAGATACTGTAACTATGTATGAAACAAAATACAGTTATTTGTTAATAACTCAGATATTGCATTTTAAATCCAGTACAAACAATTACATTTTTAAAACAGTAGCTAACTTCATCTTGATGGCTAAGAATGTTTGTAAATGTAACCCTGCTCCTTATTTTGAAACAATGAATTTATTTACATAAAAAATGAATTAGTTTAAATTTTACTTTGAAAAAAAATGATAGACATATGAAAGAATGAACTTATTAAAATTTACAATAAAATTTTGATGAAATACTGTAAGTTGTTAAATATAATGCACAGTTCCCTATAAAAGATACTAAATGATGAATAACTATAGTAGAACTTTTATGTCATTTTTCTTTGATACTCACAGGGAGAAGTGAGTGAGTAAGAATCACTCCTCCTGGTTGTCATAAAACTGGTTTAAAATGTTCATACAAAAAATGAGATGAGAGAATATCAATTGTGAAAGACACCCAATATAAATACATGAACATCAACATCACCATACAAAGCTTCATAAAAAAAAATCTTGTACAAAAATCATTACTCAATGTCAGAAACCCATAAAAAGTTTTATATCTAATGTGAAATATTCAGAGTCAGGTGTTTATAAGAAGATATGAAAACTATAAGCAAGATTGAGATTGTTGTACCATATATGGTATTGAAAAATTTAATTACATTGTGTAATTTACTCACAATAGTAACACACGATAATTCAATTCTTTGTTTACATTTTCAAATTCATGTAAAGTAATTCAATCAGTTCTCTATTTCTTCTGCACTTTACTTTTCATCTTTGTTAGGTTGTATTAATTTCTGCATTGCTTTCAGCGTATCGCTCGCATAAACGTCCTCTTCTATCGGAACAGCAGCCGCTGATGGTTGTTCCGTGCGACGTAAATCTTGATGCATTGCTTGGAATGATTCTTGGGCCTCGTATCTTATCTCTGATAGATCTTGCCGTAATTCTTGTACTAAATGCTTTTGTCGTCTTTTGTCATCACCTTTTTTAACATAAGCCTGTCGAACGACGAGCTTCTGCACCACTTCCTGCGAGATAAAAACAAAATGATTATAATCAATCAATCAATCATGATGGAAATACAGTTATGAAATCGTACCTTTCATTTAATTTTCCTGCATAAATTTAAATTGTTTGCTTTTCTGTGAATATGCTAAGGATAAAAACAATAAAAACAATTGATAAAAGATGTGAAACGTTGATGAAAAAATATCAGAAATGTGATGATCAAACTTATAATTGTGATGGTAACACAGTTATGAAATAGTTTATTTTCCCTGCATAAATTTAAATTGTTAGTCAACTTTTCTGCGAACATATTATATATATTATATATTATACAACATTATATTATTAAGGCTTACAGATTGCAGGAAAGGAATAAAAAATGGACAATAAAAGGTACATCAATTAAAACAATTGGTAAGGATGTGACAAAGTTAATGATAAAAATATGAGAAATGTAATAATCAAAATTATACAGTAATTGTTGACAATTCACAGTAATTAGATCTACAGGACACTATACAATATTAACAAACCAGCCAGAATCCGGACACTAATGTGCAATTTAATTTGCTCAAGGCAATGCTTTAGTCAAAACTCAATTTAATATAATGACAGAGGTTTTAAAAGATAAGCAATATGGACCTTACAGTGTGTACCAGTATATATTATGTGAATATTCATGAGATGTTGGTGTTACCTTTGTATTTTCACTGAATATTTTATATATCACTTTATTCTAAATGGTTATATGTCTGCACAACAATATTATTTATACAAATACGGTAGTACTAACTCAACTGATTTAAATCATCAAAATCAAAGCTTTGCATTAAAAGAAAATGGATTTTCCAATGCGACACAGAACGAATTTGAGTGTTTGATGAGCAAGAACAAGATTTATATATTTATTTTATTTTATTTCAAATCATCATCCAACAATCAGCCAATAACAGGATGCCTTATAATAAATACGTGTACATAATAAAAACATTAAAAATACTGTTAATTATTATAATTAAATTATTATTAATACAATTATTATATAAGAAATTTTAAAAAGATATTGCATATGCCTATAAATACATTAGAGGATGTACAATAGAAACTATTCATTATGTTACATTAACAGCCTGAATATTTAAAAAATGAAAAGTAATATCAATTTAATAAATAAACCTTAGAATAAAAACTCATCCCGAAATAAGCCACTTAGGTGTTAAAGTAAAGATTGTGATAAGATTGTGATAAGCTGGTTTTGAATGAACTTGCGCTCTGGTGAAAAATATCAATTAAAACATTATTATGTGAAGTGTTATATTAAAAAAAAAAGGGCTAGTCCATGAATAAAGTCATTTTTGGTGTAATTGACCGTTCCCTTGCTTGTCTTCAGAAAAAAAAAAAATAGAAGAAATGTTTTTGATATGTTTAGCACCTGCTGATCTTCGTGTGTTAGACTTCAGTAATTCCAATATATATACTTCATGAATTTTTAAATGCATCTAACATGACATTACAAATATACAGCCTCCAAAGTGATAAATTTACAAGATGAAGGTAGTTTAGATAAAAATAATGCAAGGGTCTGGAGTACACACTACCTCCATTGGGAACACATGACAATTGACAATACAGTAGTAAGAACATGCTAATAATAATATTGTCAATTGGCAGGCGATGGGATATTCTTCAGAGATTTATGCTTGTGTATGGGAGTCTACAATCGGCGATTCCACCCTGGGAGAATTAAGATACGGGACATGGACTAACATTGATAATTCACAGCAAGAGTGGTGAGTTTTTAATTTTTATCCGAGCCAACAAAAAAGAGACCATGTGCAACATTGCTAATCATGACGGTGTAGTTGGCAGAGCACCGGTCTGGTACTCCAAGGTTGTTGCTTCAAATCCTAGAATATTGCAGTCTATGAATAGTCTATATTATTTTCTTTCTTTAACTTTGCTGAATTGTATTATTGTCAGTTCGTAAAATACCAAAAAACAATGCAGCGCTTATAATATCTTTAATATTTGAAGAGTTTTGTCCCAATTTTTTCAATGTAGTACTGTATATATTTTGTTTTGGTTGTTGAAAATGTATCAATTTCATACGAAACAATGGGTAATAATTATTACAATACACCTTGTTTGGTGTTGTTAAAAAATAAGAGCAGCCCTTTTCGAGGACGGTGCTTTGATATAGCGACACATATAAATTTAGCTTCTTCCCGAAGACAATGAAAGACTGGGATGCATTCCACAAAGAAATCATTGAACTGCCCACTATAAAGTAGTCCAAGGTGCCATCAAGACCTTGTAAATGACCATCATATTGTAAATAGTCGCAGGCACTTAGCACTACTATAATTGCACTGGCAATTTAGCTGCCTGTCTGCGATTGAGCACCCTCATTCAGATGCTCCACAGGCTTGGACAAGTATTGAAGTAAAGGTAGATCATTTATTAGTAGACTGCACTAACTCGGTAGCTAGCTGGTAATTCAACCTTAAGGAAGGGTGCCAATAACACTTGAAACTTCGGTAAGTTATGAAACATTGCTTCAACAATAATGAAATTTATTTTAATAAGATAAATTGTTTATAGTACTTACTTTTCTACTACCTTTCCTTGACATTTTTAATATACTTGTAGATTCTCAAAATGTTCTTTTCTAAATGAATTATTGTGTAATAAAGCAATATAACCACCACAATTCAAACGTAAACAAAAGCCCGATCAATGAAAATTGATTCCTAAATTGTTGGCATAGATCCGAGTTAGAACAATTCTTAGGAACTGGCTGACCTCTATATTTTACAGCGTTATCATTTTCTTCTTAAGGAGCTCTCCATGTCATCACAAGAGGATACAAGGTGAATCATGTAAGTCTCCCTGCTTTTTATACAAGCCGTTCCGATTGATTAATAGAGGAGAAAAAAATGCTCCCTCCTAGTGCATATGAAGTAATTGCTTAGAAGACGAAGGATGAAAGCGTGTCGGCTTGTAACACTAATCAGCTTTGTAGGTGTGCGAAAGGTTGGAAATTAATTCTAACAATATACCTTAGTGTGTGGTGGACCTGTGATAGAATATTGTACTCTAGTTTAATGAGAAATGCATTGACTACTTGATAAACAAGTATTAGGCCAAGTGAAAAAAAAATTAGTTACTTGTGTTACTTTTTTGAAAAATGGAAGTTTTTACAAAGCCGTAAGCTTTTTCATACAGAAGTCGATACAGTGATCGAACGAAATCTGAGCATTGAGAGGCAATAATTTTTTATTAATTGCATCCTTGATCAGAGGAATATGAAAATTACCATAGTTATATTTTCTTCAAGCAAAAGATGAAAAATGACAGCAACAAAAGAGGAAGCAGGTATGAGGAACAAATTTATTGTTTTACTTGGCCATCGATGGCGACCAAGAAATATCAAATTATACTTAAGGTTTATGAATAAAGGCAAATCTGTACCATCTGGACAGATATGCAAAAATTATTCAGAAATTGTCTCTTTATCTACCGAATGAAACGGCAGTTTAAATTCAATTCAAATCAATGGTTTATTGTGATGAGAGCAAATTCATTCTATGCATATGAACAACGCAATATAAATGCGCTGATGTTTATATTGCCGACATTTTGTTTATTTCACTCTGTTGTTTGTTATCGGCCATTTTACGGCCGACATTGTCATTTGTTACTCAACAGTTTATTGCAGTTAATTATTTCACAGTTGCTAATTAAGTGTCTATTATCTTACTTTCCTACAGTTGTTTAACGTATATGTTCTGTATTTCCCATTCGTACTACTAATACTGAGACATAGGCGTGTTCGAAATATTCGTTTGGAATAAATTTTGTCTATAATGTCAACGTATGCAATTGTTTTACTATTGTATCTGCTTTTATAAGTGTGTCACGGGATTCGAACCTGCAACCTCTTACCAGTGGCGCACCTAGGGGTGTGTGGGGAGCACACACCCTCCAAAAAATTACTCTGGCCCCGCTCTCCCAAAATCACGATCAAGTAGTTAAAAATCACCTAAAATCACCTTATTTTGTGAATTAACGCCCCTGAACCGATCATTGAGCCCCCACTTCACCTTCGCACACGCCCCCACTTCACCTTCGCACGCCCCCCCACCCCATCAGCACCAGTATAACAAATGATAACAAGGAAAATAAATACGTCTCTGGTGGAAGTGGAACCTTGTAGACCACATTGATCTTCTAATAGGTACAGATCTAACCCCAGACAACTACATATTTTTACATTACTTGAAATTATTAATTTTGTCATTATGTTTACTTTTTTAATTATTGTAATGTATGTATAATGCAAAGAAGAAATAAAAAAAACCCCAAAAATCCAAACAACTGACTTTAACATCAAAAACCACACAGCTGTTTAAACTGTAGCATATTTCAATTTTAAAAGGAAATGGCATCTTTATGCAAATTTAAAAAAAGTCATTAGGTGTTTGGTCGAGGTAACAGGCTATAATTACTGAATAATAGAATTAATCTATCATAGGAAGTATAATTAAGGACACAACATGGCCATTATTTGTTTTAATATTCTCACAATATGTGTATTCAGTCTTAACACCACTGGTGCTTACTGGTGCGACCAAAGAGAGTGCTCTTTCAAATTTCTTTAGGACTTTAATACTACTTTATATAACAATAACAATTTAATATTAAGGAAGAATTATCAACTACAAACAAATAGTGTAATAAATATGATACACTAAGTACACATGGTATTCTACTGTACAATTTTATGAATAAATAAATAAAATTGCCATTCATTGTTAAAAACAGAATATTTATTGTTATTTATATTTAATGTTTATTCTATTGTGCTACTCGGTCCTTCAAAAAAGTTTGTATTTGTTATTTCAGACCATTAATGGAAAAAGCCAGTACAAATATAAAAATGAAACAGAAAGCATAAAAAATGTATTCAGAGAATTCCAAACAAGGTCCTAGTCCTAATACATAGCAATTTTCTCCTGTCAAGTCTCCTACAATATTCATGATTCTCGCACTTTAACATTAATATACACACCTACTGTACATATATAAACATAGAGGGAGCTGTAGTAGGTAGTTATAACATACATGGTGCTATATCTATAGTTTAATGCAGGGTGGGCATTAAAATCGGAGAGCCAAAGTGAACTTTGGATTTAACATCGAGGACTGCACCCAAACATTGATGTTTACAGTGTGCTTCCAAAAACCATCATGCACTGCTTTTATACCACTTTATTCTCGGTTTTAACATTACTTTTTACAGATGATCGATGTCGGGCAGTAAAAAAACATGTTTTTTAGTAGAAATGTTCGCACTTTGCCCACATGTGGTTTAATGGGATTGACTTGCGCACGGGACTGCGGCGGATACAGCATTTGGCTGTAGGGGATGCTTGAGTATTCAAATCCATCTCAGCCCAAAATGGGGAAAATGAGCATATGGACTTCAAGGTGCTTGGAAATTGCACTCTCATACATTTAAAATCTTACTGGTACTATATTTGCAATGATAAAAATAATATATAAACAATACAATAATTAGTTTTCTTAATACAATTTAGGGGGTGCGATCGCACCATTGCACCCCCTGCATCCGCTGCAGTGGCACTCTACAAAAGTTGGCAGACATACTAATTAGGCCAACATTTTAAAGAAACTTATGAATAATACACAAAATTAATTTTGATTATGATAACGATATGTGACATTTACAGAGGAGGTCAAACATGATAGTCTAAATGACAATTCCAGAATTTTTAATTTAGGTTTTATGCATCGATAGCAGCAAAAGTAATTAGTGTGTGAAATACAGCCTATCATCACCCTCAATAGATCTGACATCTAACATGTTGAAAGATTTCAGAAATATGTCAGCATAAATGGGTGAGTCTCTGTGTTTATGCTGTATGTGTGTGGGAGTATATCCATTTTGTGTTTTTTTAAAGACAGTACAAAACATACAGTTTTTGTCCTTTTGATATCATTTTGTCTTTTTCTAAAAAGCATACAATTACGCTGTTAAAACTTTCACCTGTGACAACACAGGCGCGGATCCAGGATTTGAAAGAGGGGGTTTAATATGTTTCCAAAAAAAACCCCAAAATGAATGGGGGGTCTGGGGGTCATCCCCGGGAAAATTTTGATTCCTAGATGGCTAGAAATGAGCTTTCCCGACTTCTGAAGAGTCTTTTAATGACCTTTTAGTTTTTCAAAATTCAAGGTTTCCCCCTCTTGAAAAAGGTCAGGTAATTTTATCTCATTCTTTAGGCCTATACATACTAAAAAAAAAAAAAAAAAAAAAAAAAAAGAAAATGAAAGACATAGGCAATATATTATTATATTCCAACAATATTGAATAGTTTTTCTTCCATGGATCGGTGAAACGATAGGTCTGAAGAATGCACTTAAATTATTACGGCATGGAACCCAGTAGTACAGTATTTTGTTACGTTTCTTCACAGATGGGGTTCGTCCGAACCCCCTGAACCCCCCGGATACGCCACTGCAACACATTTTTAAAAAATAAATATATATCTGCTCTGTAAGGTAATCACTCTCTGCTCTGAATGGTAAATAAGGTATTAATATATAATAAATGCTCTGTATGGTAAATATATAATAAATACTGTAATAAACTGCAGCGTATGCATGAAGTCAACAGCTGTTGTACAACATACAATAAATATGTATCTTTATTTTTTATTTACATATTGAAAAAAACTGTTTCCCAAGCTCTGATATTGGAAGGTAAACATCTTAACCACCGTGGCACCAAATACAAAGAATTGTATAATTAAAACATTCATACTTAACCTATCTCTTTCAAAAAATTTCTGTTATAGAAATTTGCATATATATATCCTTCAGTTGATATTAGGACAGCAGCAATGGAATTAATTTGTGTTCATCACACAAAGTGACGAAATCACTAATTAAAACTATCTTGCCTTCTACAAACATAAATAACTGCAACAATAATAACGATATGTAATGGCGAAAATTAAATAGTGCCATTTGAAATATAATCGATACAAGGCATGTAAAACTCAAAAATGTGAACAATTAAACAAAAACAATAATACAAATAAAATATATTTTAATTAAGTAGAAAATATTAAAACAAATAATAACAGGGTAGTGTATACTTATTTATAGAAAGACTTATTCACAGTTATTAGTGAGGACACACTCCAGCTCAACTCAAGAGACAAATGAGTTTGCCGGTAACAAACATTTATAGTTACTATAAACTAACAATACTGTAAAATAATTTTTAACTCTGACTACAGCCCTTTTATTAAAAAATATTAGCTAACCCTTTGAAAATGAACGCAATTCGATATTAGCCAACCCTTCTGGTTTCTGTTTCTGCTAAAAAAAACCCCCAAAAAAATGTGTTTCTAAGTGTCTGCATTTAAACAGTTCTGCAGAGCAAAACATGGAGCCTTTAACACAAGCAGATTAAACATGATATGCCAGTGTATTTTGTTAATGTAGTGTGATACATGAATTCTAATGTACTGTAATTTAATTTATTATAATGGGATATAGCGCATTATACCGACATCTCAATGAACTTAAAATATTAAAAAGAATTAAATTAGATAAATATTAAACTTAAAATATTAAAAAGAATTAAACTAGATAAAAAAAAGGACACTTACCTTATATTCTAATTCTGGATTATGAAACAGCTTCCCCTCTGGTAGAGACATCATCCTCACATTCCTATCAAAATGTAAACAAATTAAATTTATTATTGGATTGTTATTATTACATTTCATTTCATTTATTTTATATATTTGGCAGTTGATATGAAAACAGCCATACAAGCATATTAAAATAATATGATAATAGCAAAAACAGAGATTACAATTACATCAAAGCGTATTAAGATTTGATTTGAACAAGCAAAAAACAATAATTGCCTGCCGAGAAAGAATTTTATGTAATGGTCCTGTCACACCTTGATGATTTAGCCAGCATATGGCGATGTATCAAAATTTCTGTAAAACTCTGGCATACACTGAACTATTGATGTTTATTTCGGGGGCGTACATATATTAGTGAGTTGGTATACATAATGTTTTAGTAACTTAAATTAACGTTTTGATAACTTATAAATAAATTATACCAACGAATGCTTAGTGTGCTGCCGGCGTTCACAACAATATGCCCAACGATAGTCAAAGTTACGCACAGCGCACGGCATCGTATTGCCAACGATCATTTGATGTAGCCTATAAAAAGGCTGCCACTTGTCGATTCAAAATCATAACCGCACTAGACATCGCAGTATCAACATCATTTTATTAACATCACCCCATGCTTATATATACAAATTCCACTAAATGCTGCCAATACGCCATTATACGGCAGCTGTAAGTTAGAAACACATTCAGTACAGCAAGTTTTGTGGTCGTCCGGAACATGTTAAATATGTCTACATACGTCAATATACGTTGGCGAAAAGTTTGACAGAAACATAGGTTAGAAGTACGTTACTCATAGGTTAAAAATAAGTTTTGGGTACAATAGACATTATCTCAGACTTTTTTGACTTATGAGTAACTTATAAGCAACGTATGTGAACGTGTGTCAATGATCGCATAACTTACTACAACTTACGGACCGCGTATGCGGAACGTATGAGCTATATGCTGGCATATGTCGCAAAGTTTTGTGCATGCACAAACCTTCTCGACGTACTACGATGTACGCCAGTGTGCTTCAGTGTGCGCTTAACTTATACAAAACTTACCAATAATTTATTCGACGTACACCAGCGTATTAGCCAAATTTTTCATATGTCAGCATACACTGGCTAAATCGTCAAGGTGTGACAGGCCCATAACAGAAAAAAAACCCAAAAAACAAGGCAATGAAAATAGTAACCTTGATTGAGAAAGCTGCAAATCAAGAATGGTTCTTCTCTGTCTTTTCCTCAAAACAGTCACAAGAGAAACTATTTTAAACTTTATTTGGCCGCTATTAAGGCCAAATGAAAAACGTCACATTCCTATACTGGTAAATATTACAGGTTTTGCTGCAGATCGCTTCTGCGCAAGCGTCGGTGTCGTCTCTCTGGTGATTTTGAGCACTTGCTCGCAGCGCCATCATGTCATCATGATGGTCTGACGAAATTGTGAAATCATCAAATCTTTCAGTACGACCAGTTTAGACGCGTCATATAAAGATCTTTACGACAAAAAGATCCAAAATTACAAAATTGTTTGTATTCTTCACAGTATTTCCTACAATTATGCATAAACACATTTTTGGTGGTTAGAAAAAAAAACGAAAACAAAAACAAAAAAAAAGCTTTTTGTACCGACCTACCCATTTTTTTTAGATTTTCCTAAAATGTGGTAAACACAAGAATTTTTTTTTTTTGTTGGTCTAATGCAATTCAATATATAAACACAAGTACCAGACTAACAGGTAGGTCTACTTGGTAATTGAACACTGGAGACCTAAAACTTAATCCAAGCTAAGTGTAGGCCTCATTTTTGAAGAATTATTAGCAAATTAGATCTGTGTTTATTGACCCTATATGATAATCCAATACCTGGACCCTGGAGATTTGCACATACTTTGATGTCCTTGAAAAAATATCTACCTACTGGCAAGCTTTGTAGGGTAGTGACTCAAATCTCTACAGATTGAAAGGTAAAAAAAAAATAATATTAATATCAATTTTTTGGTTTTGTCTTTAATTTTCTGTAAATCCAAGTACATTGGCCAATTGCAGGTAAAAGTGGAGTTGTTTTCAGTTGTGAGAAGAACATTTCTGGGGTCTTACATGATTTTAACCCAGGGCCTTGGGACTGGAAGGCAGGCAATTTTAACTACCACGTTAAAAAAAAAAAAAAAAAAAAAATCACTCTAATATGGTTAATAAAATGTATTAATTCATACTAAATGAGTAATTATATATTACTGTATCTTTATCCAAACAGAAGTAAAAGCCTGATGTGATGTGAATTCATATATCTGCTAAGTACTAGTGCACTAGAGGAATATTCCCCAAGGTATGAGGGAGGTTGCATATTGTACATGAATTTTTTTGAATTTCAGGGAACTTTATAACAAAAACTTGTACTGGTATTATTTACTTTTTTTAATCAGAAATAATCATTAAATATTATTATCTCTACTACACTAGCTTGTACAGACAATAATATTTAACAAAACTAATTGTTATATTGCACTACATTAATATACAATGAATCTTTATGGTAATAAATGATCTTTTATCCGCTAATCTTTTGGCGACAGGCTAATTCATAGTCTTGTAATCAACATGGATGCATTTGTGCAGTTAACACTAATGACAACGCATGTGCTGAGTACAAATGATGAGTGAATAGCAAAAAACTGGTCATGTTAAGGACACTATTAGTTCATGCTATGGATTTTATGATAAAGATTAAAGTAATAATAGCTACTATTATGATCATTTAATGAATTTTTAAATAAATCAACATACATAGGCAAGAAACAAAATGTAAAAAGTAGATCAGTAACCTGATAAGATTAGTAAATTAGCAAATCAAATCAGTGTAGAGTTGGTTTTCCGAGATTTACAAATGTCAACATAATGAATATTATGTCATAATTCAAATGTCATTACTCCATTTCATGACTGATAAAATGACTGGTGAAACAAGAGCTATTAAAAACTATGACGAAAACGTCATTTTGATTATTAAAGAATACTATAAAAACAACAACAGCAGCAGTAGTAATAACTATAATAATCAAAAAACAATAATAATAAAATAACAATAATAATAATAAATAGCAATAACAATTATAACAATAGTAGCACCGATAATAATAAATAGCAAGTCGAGTGGCCGAGCAGTAAGGCTTGGGTGCTGCTAACTACAGCCTTAAAATCGGCGCTGGTTCCAGTCACTCCTTGCCCAGGGTTTGGTTTGTAGAACCAAGTCTTCTAGGATAAGGATTTAAACTGGAGGTCCTAGCTCGTATGCACATTAAAGAACCCAATGCATCTTTCGGAAGGGTAGGGGGGGTTACCCTGATGCTATGGTTAATTTCAGCTACTGCCATTGTGGAATGATGTGAAAGTGTAGCTACTATAAGATCCTCTTTACAGCCACTAGGTAGTTATGGACCACGCCCATACATAATTCAGCATAATGACGCTGCGAATTATGAGTTATTCTCCTTGACCTCTACACAGCAATATCAACAACAGAAACAGCAACAACAAAAAATTTAAAAAATAATAATTTAATTAAGTTAAAATAAATCTATTTAAATGAGGCATTAAAGACAATTCCAAATTAGGCATCATGGTATGTTAAACATTTCCTTTTGTATTCTTACATGGACTTCACAACCAAAATAAGTACAACGATCCAAACAGATCTATAGTGTTTACGCATTGAAACAATTTAAACAGTACAAAACCCAATAATCAATATTTGTTAGCTGATATCATTCATTGATAACTGGGATATAAATACTACATACATAATACCCAAATGCAAATTTTGCTTTCAAAACTTAATTAGTTAATCCTATTTAAATAATACATGTATAAGGGCTGTAAAAATCTATTTTAAGTTACTCCTTTTTTGAGCTATAAACTGAAAAATGAAATTTACTATTTAAATTGCTTATTTTTATGAATTTTAGTAAATTATTAGAAGTGCCATTTAAGTGCATTTAAAATTTTTCCTATTTGGATATATATTATTACTACAGTAAAAAATACTTTAATACTTAATAGTTGCAAAAATAGAGGTAGCAACTACAGTACTGTAATAACTGACAATAATATTGAAACATTTACTTACATGCTTATTGTAGACTGCATCTTGCTAAATGTATCTTGTTTTAAAAGAAACTAAATTGTAATTAAATAGTACACTAGTACTGTATGTGAATTCCACCCTGCAATTGTTTAGTGAACTAACGTGCAAATGTATACAAAGTCCATTTTATTAATTCACACATCCAATCTCATGGTCAGCCGTTGCGTAAAAGTAAGTAGCTACGTCATACACCAACCCAACCAAACACAATAACAATTATGAAATATATCTTTTCAATACACATAAAAGATCAATTAAGTTGTTTTACTGGGTTGGGCCAAGGACATAAAATCCATCATGTTGAAGTAATGAGAAGTTGAGTTTGGGTTAGTTACCCGGTCATATCAATAATTACCAATGATAATCAATAATTACCAATGATAATCAATACACAGATATATGTTTATAAGGACATGATGATGTGTAGTAAGTAATGAGAAGTTCAGTTTGGGTTAGTTACATCATATTATTACTTTACTATACCAATGATAATCAATAATTACCAGAATCTTATAAGCATATTCACGTGTAGAAAAAATTCAATATATTACTATATAGGGCACATAAACATATATTGGTTAGGAGCTTCTCAACCCTATTCAAAAGGTAAAATACCCTTTAAATAGGAGAGGGTAAAAAAGTATTCTCTGTATTCCTCTCCTTAGATTCATAAAAAATATTAATAATGCATTAAAGTCAATAATTTTAATTGTTTACTGCTCATACTCTATCTGTTCAATCTCAGATATCCCTACAAAATTGAGTCCTAAAACTAAATTATAACAACATATAAATGTTAAGGACCCCCAAAGGAAATAAGTTTTTTATATTTTAAAACTTTTTGGGATACCCTAGGAACTACCCTAGCATTTAGTGTCTGTT